GAGCGTACTTTCGGCTAGGAGAGCAAGAAATTAGTATATTACATACCTAGGCCAGTAAAATAAGAAAAGTCTCAGACCACATGTAATTGTTGGCCGAGGTGAAGCCGAGGTTGACAAACATGTGGTCTGAGGTTTTACTTTTTACTGGCCAAGGTGTGTATACTATTTTTCTGCTCGACGTAGCCGGAATGTGGCAACTTTGTTTAGCGCAGCGGCCAGAAAGTTGCCACTTTCCGGCCGGAGGGCAGAAAAAGAAATTTTACATGTGGTCTGAGACTTTTCTTATTTTACTGGCCTAGGTATGTAATATACTATTGAAAAAAATGAGCATTGTTGTGACAAGAAATTAATTTGTTGAAACTTTTATACGATTTTATTTCTTAGCTGAAGAAATCAAAATTTTTGTCACAGTAACTTTCATGTTGAAAAAAAGTTTTCTGGAATCGGGAAAAAACAATTTTTGATGTAAATTCGCCAGTTGTCTATCTAAAACTATTTTTTTTCCCAGATTATTGCTGTCTTCCCAAGAATTTATTTGAATAAAAAAGGTTTATTTCAAAGTCTTAAAATTTTTTTCTGCTCGTATTATATAAAATTCAAGTTTTAGTTAAAAATTTTGGTTGTTGGAAAGAAAAAAAAGTCAATATCTGAAAGATTTGGTACCTTTTAATTTGTAAACTGTTTTAATAACTGGATGGTTAAGAAAATAAAAGATAACATTGCAAGGATTGAGTGGGTGCTCATGTGCTCTCATCTTAAAATTAATCCGTGGAAAGTGTGCCAGTCACTGAATTTTTGTTCATGTCAACAAAAATCATTGGTAAATATTATTTTATCATCACACTTAAGTGTTTACATCCATGTTGCGTTTTCAGATTGAGCCATCCAATAATCACTGAAAGATTTTTAAATAAAATCGGGTTTCTTAGCCTGAAAAAAATCTTAAATTGAACAAAAATTACAAAGTAATTAGACAGAGAAATAAATTTTGTTGACATAAAAAAATTTATTTCCACCATAATGAAAATTTTTATTAAAAGACTAAATTTTCTTTATTCAAGAAAAATTTTCCTGTTAGCTCAAGAAAAAAATTAAAAATCATAATTGTGTAAAATTTTCAATAAATTTAAACGTCAAGATCATTTTATTGTCTTGACCACAACAGTACTATATAAAATAAAAAAGCTAATAACTGAGTAAGCAAAAGAACTACATTAATCATAACGTGTCGTCGCAGTTTTTTCATCTACGTAAATGAACTTTGCATCTATAAATAATCCTTATAATGGAAAAGTGCAAGTAATAGCTTACGAAAAAGTGCTTGTGAAGACAATATTTAAATTAAGTAAAGATTCATTAAAAATGCAATTTAAGAGGCGGGAGATCAATCGTGAGACATTAATAACGAAGATAGATATTTAGAACGAGTGCTCCGGATGTGGTTTCCCGCAGATGGTAGAAGGCGAAATTGGACTTTCGTCACTGAGTGACGAGTCTTATTATCCCTATAGTGAGCATTAGACTATAGTCGAGCCTTCTTTTCCATTATATCATAAATGAATGACATTAGCAACGCTATAATATCGAAGGCACTATTACCGTGACGGGTATTACGTGGCTAAACTACAGTCTCTAGTCTTCCCTTCCTTTCTCACTCTTAAAAACTCGATCTCTCTTTCTCTTTCACTTACTCGGAAAATACTCTTACTCTTGCGCTCAAGAAATCAGGTCACTGCGCTCCAAGAAAGCCACACGCTATTTTAACTCTGGATTAGAATTATCGTTGCAAACTATAACTAACTGTAAAACATTTTACATTAATACTTATTAATATTATTACTTCTTTTTTTTTCGTTATTTATGTTATTAGTTTACATTATTTTATGATTTTGCTTGTAAAAAATAATAATAATAATAGTAATAATGAGTAGCTATTTATATATTTCGTCATATTAATAATATTAAATGACAATAATAAAACTAATAATGAAAATGGTAATAGTAATATTATTATTATTATTATTATTATTATTTACATACAATTATCATGTGGAAAGAATCATAAATAGTCAATACTTTTAATGTGATCAACGTCAGAGAACGAATCGTTACAACGAGATTATTAAGTACAGATACTATTTAATTCTACTTAATGATTATTAATCACAACTACGCCATTATTTATTGATTTGTGTATTACGTGTAAATATCTATCAGTTGTAAGTTGGTTATCACTTATATTGAATATAAGCATAAAGGGAGCGAAAAAGAAACAAAACGATAATAATGTTAAGATGACCTCATCTGGATCTTCAGAAGGTCGGTGGGGTTATAAGCATCCACGTTTTTTTTTTAATTCTCTCATAAGTTTGGAAAAAACCGGATTGGTCCAAAGTACAACTTTCAATTAATAAGTGATACGTTTTAGTTTGATAACGATGATTAATAATGTGATGAATACTTAAATTTGTACTCGGTAAATTTTAGTGTTTGTTAACTCCAATGAAAAGTGAGTTTAAGAACTTTGAGTGTATTGCCAAAATTATTTCGTCATAGAAAATTATTTGCTCTTGGTAAAAATTTTAAAGTCTATTAACAAGAATTTTACTTTTCTATGGATAATATTCTCCATTCAAAAATTTTATCCTTCAACGAAGTACGTTATTGTTTTTGAAGAAGATACACAGTAAAAAATTTTTCGTCATTGTGTAAAGTGTAAAAATGTTTGTAAAGAATTAAACATTTTAGTATGTAGAATTTAACATTTTATCATGTTGATTCAACACAGATTGTGTAAAAAAAGTCATCAACACAAATTTTTGTGTTAAATTTGGCGAAAATTTTTTTACTGTGTACATACATATTTCGTCCTCTTGAATTGAGATAGGCAGTAACATTAGTTAAGGTAGTACTACCGTTACCACAAGAGTCAAATCCCAAAACCTAACCTTATGTGATTAACGTAGTAGATTGCCCTATACTAAATCACATTGGAGAAAGAGAGACAGAGATAAATATTGAATGTTTTTTATTAATAAATATTCTCATATTCTTGGAAACCATACTGATT